ATTTTCCGCCCACACAGCTCTATAACCAACGCTATGTACAGATAGAGTTTACTGTACATTCAATTCTCGTAATTCAATGTAACTTGTTTAACTTTGACAATGAAATTAGATTTAACAAATGAGATCAAAGTTAGTTCGACTGCACCGTTTAACGCGCAGGACGATGTTCCGGGCAGAGTGGAGACGCAGAACAATTTGATGGAACGTCCATTTATTTACAGCGTTGCGTTTGACGCCGACGGTTAAACGATCTCGATAAAATGGTTCTCAGGAGCCAATCAAAACGTAATGGAATGTTCTGGATAAATCGTACGTGCCTGTGTCGACTCAATAATGGCGCATCGTTTGAAAAGCATTACCAATTCGCCAGAAACTTTGCTCCTTTTGTAAATGGCCGATAAACCGGTCCGTCACGGTTATCCGATCGTCATTATCGCGAATGACTGGCCTTCGGTTCATAATGCACCGGGATTTACCTCGATTTTGATCCGTCGACGAGTCGAGAGTCGTGTGATCGTGACAGCTTTATTGTTCGTTGAGACATTGATGGTCTCGATGCTCGGACACCTGAGCATTTTATGGGTCCTTTCATCAAATCTATGCGTTATTCGCATGAAATCATTTGAAAATGGTTATTCGAGCGAAGAATTCGATTGAAAGTGAAAATACACGAATCGTCGTATATTCCTTTCGCAACGCGTTCATAAACGTTAAAACGTCAACCAAGAATCCATGGAATGTCTGTTCAGAGCTATAAAAATGACTAGACGTACAATTGCCTATACGTGGCTGATAATTGAAATAGGCCGTCGCTTTTTCGCGAATTTATTGGAAACGCCGTATGTATTATTCAAGACCCCCTTCACCTCCCCCTACCAGCAACCCCTCGTTCATCCCTCTCCGATGATAACGGTGAATAGAGAACATGCTCGTGCGTCACGTGTTGCGGCACAATAATCGAACGCTTTCGGGTATGATTAAATTTTCAACGATACGCTCGACAAATTCCTTTTTCCCACGAGAGAAAGAGCGAATGATATGGAAAAAATAGAGAAAGAGAAGTATTTATTATCACAGTTACCATCGATTTTCCTAGGTGTTTCCTTATCCACTCTCCTAACCACTCTCTAAAATGTGAACTAAATCATTCTGACATTCAAAAATTAAAAAATTTCAGAAATTTCCAAAATTCCAATTATAATATTGAATTTTACATATGTTCATAGTCTACAGAAATTAAAGGTATTAAATACTTTTGTATACAAAATAATTTTCAAATAGAAATTCTAATCTCATGTTGAGTGATATTAACCAGGTACCGTTGTTAAGCTGAAATTATGCTTTAATTTTGTTATTAGAACTGAAACCTGTTAACTTGAGTTTATAGGTAGAATAGAGAAGTGAACAGTACGCTTTCTACTTTGCGAACTACTTTAAACATTTAAAATTGTCGGTCCGTGGAGGGAAAGTTGGATGGCTCTAACGTCACGACATAATTTCGCGATTAATAACTTCTCAGAAACTCTTAATTGACACGGACGGCTGAATTATAATAACTAAGAGCACAAGTGAGGTGTGAATAATCATACAGAAATGATACAATTGTATCATACAGATTTTAATTATAAACACGTGAAACTCTTCTGATTTAAGACCAACAGCATTAACTCTATAAACAATATTCAAAATGCGATTATTTATGAAAACTGAATGTTGCAAACAGTGATAAATCAAGAATCAACCATTAAGAAGAACTTAGGTTCGAGGTTTAATGCTTGAGGTTAATTAAAATCCAAGAAGCAACGATGGTTCGAATCTTCATTCGCGCTAAGTTCACGAACTAAACGGACGATCGACGTTAATCCGCTAAGACTCGAGTAATCTTATCCTTTAAAGTAACTGCTATATTAAGACAGGACTAACCGGTTAAATTAAGGTTATATTAAAGAGGTAAAATGGCATTGTTGGCTCCAAACTCGGCGTAAACACCGCGACAAGGAACTGCATAGAATTATATTATGGAGAACTAGAGATTCTCAGAAATAGACGAATACCTGGATACTCTGACCCCATGGGAAAACCTTTAGTAGGTAGTAGTGAATTATACAGAAGCACAAACACTGCTTGAGCACGAGGAGAATATACACGAGCTAGGTGGTATCAATCGGTAATAAGGCTGAGAGAAGACTGAAGGTATACCAAAGAGAAAATCATGGAAGTACTTTGAGAATTCATACTTTCCCCATATAACTATTTTCCCTACAGAAGTGTACGTACAATCATTTAGTAGTTCCCTGGTAAAAAAAAAAAAATTACAAATAGAGAGTGCCACAGTATAAGCAATGAAAGTTGTTACTAGCCAAAGACAATAAATGAAAACACGATACCGTATCAATACAGGTTTTTTGTTTTGGTAACAGTGAACAATTTGAAAACCATTTCCCTGCGTCAATTTTTTTAAAATTCATGCCCACTTTTACAAAAGAACGATTGTTTTATATTGTTGAAATGATTTGTCCATCCGGTCACAAGTTGACGTTGAAAAAGCAGCGGTTTTTCGGATGTCTTTTATTTCATGAAATACCAGTTGGAAAATAAACATGGCCACGAGAGGCTGGATAAATCCATTATTTCAATCGTTTGACTGGGCCACATTCAAACGTAAAGCTTGACAAAAACAAAAAAAAAATTCCAATTATTCTAAAAATTTTCCAAGCTTCTTTACACGACAACCGAGTATTTCTGTCCGGCATGATGAGGGCACTTTTTGAGTTTTCGTTTCCTAAAAAGTTTCCTTCCCTACAGCCCCAAGTGCGGAAAATTATAAGAAATCTACTGTACGTTAGTCAGCTATCACTGTTAATAACCAATATTCCGATATAATTTATTAAAGAAGAATTTCTTACTCTTTTAATCACACGGTTAAAGATAAATCGAAATGAAACTGGATGGTTTCTCGATTCGTATTATTTTCGATTATTTCCAATCGAAAGCATCGTCGGTGTGGAAATGAAAAAATCGAAGAATTCTCGCCACGCCATTAGGCGGCGTGTCGTTAATGAAGTTTGAAATGAATGCGAGGTTGATATTGATCATAGGCGGATTAAAGGTGAATAGAGCTCAGCAAATAAATTGCAAATCCCGGATTCGAACGGTGGGTAGGTTAAATCGAGTTATACGTATAGCACGCGTCCAACCAGACACGTAGGGGAAAAAAGGTTAATAAGTTCATGTATGCATTGACGATGAAATGAAAAATGGAATTTTGGCTGACGGTGATATTGCGCGTGACAAGAGTATCTCGGAATAAACGTTTGAAAATAACTCGAAAAGATGAAAAATAATCGAAAGATTTCAAATCAATAAATTCATAAAGACAGTTTTGAAGATGATTAATCGATCTTATTCGAGCCCAATTGGGTAGATTTTTTTTGCATGTATCTTGTATCAAAACAAAGACTGTGCTATTAACGTGTAAAAAAAAATTGTAATATCTCGAATAACAATCAACATTTGTTGATTTATAAATATTATTAATCATAGGTCGTTGCTTTTGTCATCGGAAAATCGGAAAATCATGGATTGCAATTACATTTCTTTTTCTTACAAGTTTTTGTCAAATGGAAAGAGTCGATACGTGGTCAGAATGTAGGAAACTGACGAAACAGACACACGATTAATGTTCCGTCAGAAGAACGTCAAACGGTTTTCGTTGAAATTCGAAATTGACGAGAAGGAAGTCGCCTTCGCGTGACAGTGAACGCATTAAAACGTGAGATGCATGGCCGCGAATCGATTTATCGACGGATCTGATCGTGATCGAAAGGCCGAGAGTAACCGAACGAAGCTATTTAAAATTCATGAATTCTGTCATATCTATAACCAATTAGGTCACACACGTTGACGATCAACGTCTGCCGGTTCACAGAACTATAATGAAAGCCTCTCAAAATTCAACGAACGTTCCATTCTTTATCGAAGCAATTAGAATCTCCCATGCAGCCTGCATAAACTATCGGCTGGCCGCAAATCATATTTGAATATTGTCTATGCGGTCAGATGTTGCACCAAACTGGTTTGCTTTAATTAAAGAAAAGAAATTAAAAAGAAAAGAAGTAAAAAATGGTTATTAAATTCTATAATATTCAAGAATTAAAAATTATATTATTTTGTTTCTAAATCGCTATATCATCAAAATTAAGATTTTGAGAATCCCTTATGTCGCTATCCTCCCCACAACAATTAATAATCATTGTATTTATAATTACTAAATTTTTGGCACACTCTGTAGTATCCATTTATCCATTTAAAATGAATTTGCATTTTTCTATGAATATCTTGCTCTATAAATATTAAACTGAAGCATCTCCATTATCTCTTGTTTGATTGCACTTTAACGAAAGACATTTATTCCTGGCTAACAAACCCTAACAATCGCATTCTCGATCCACCCAAGGATCATCTGAAGTTTAACTAGAAATTCACATTTACAATAGCAGTTTAAAGTAGCTTGAAAGTTCTCCAATTTCGGAACGAAACTTTATGCTACCCCCTTGTAACTTCATAAAAAAAACTACAAGCCTCTGATTTCGTCTAATGAGATCCGACTTTCAGGGAACTCGAATTTTTGTACCGCTCGTTATTATCTATAGATCCGAGAAAATCGTATACACGTATACCGAGGCTGCAAATTTTTAATATATGTATTTATATACTCAAACTTGAAGCAGATAATAATCAAAATTTTTTTTCTTATGATTGGATAAAATTATAAATTAAATTGATTTTAATTTCCCGATATTACCGAAGGTTAATTTTTACTGGGGAACGTATAGGTGTTCTCAATAGTTTTACGAATGATGGGAAAATGAAATTCCAGCAGTGGCATAATTTCGATTTCACAGTCTGATAACAGGGCGAATATCCACAAAATTATAACTGGTGCCGAGTGCGCAGTGAAATCAATTTCTGTGCCATTAAATCGTATGTTCGAGACTCACCTGATTCCTCCACGAGTGATGTCGTAATTTAGCGTTCGGGATCCGTGCCGCCACGTAACGTACCCGGTGGGTTGCGGTATATTGCTGACCACACACTTCAATTCTATCGTGCTGCCCGCTTTGTAGAATTTGTCACCTGCCGTCGCCCCGTGTTCATCCACGATTTCTACCCTCGGTACTGTAACACGCAACGAATCATTTTTATCAATTTACGTTCTCCCTTTTGGCTTGCAAATATTTCTAACAGTCAAACGGTGGGAGATTTAAATGAGCTCATGACGGTCACTGATAACAAAACGGAAAGAAAATTTTAATTACAATTAATCCTTTTACTGCGAAAAAAGTACCTATACGTATCGAGAGAAAAATTACTTACACTAAATAACAAACTGAAGTACTGCTACAAAGTGTAAAGAATGAGAAAATCCTTACCCTAAATAAAAAAAAGTGAAAAGAAGAAATAGGAAAAGAGCACCTAAGGCTCTACGAAAGACTAAAACAAAATGAACGTTTCAGCATGCCTGTCACAGAAAAATGGCCGATTAGGACTGAGAAAACCTTCAGAACCACCGAATATTGAGAAAAATCGTAGAAATAAAGGATTCCCTCTGTCAGTAGTAGTCCCTATTTTTCACGAATTTTTACAAATACTAAATCTATAAGAAACACATCAAAACATTTATTCGCAATTTAGCAAACTTGCTAATTAACAACTTTTCCATGAAAATTTTTTCCAAATATAAAAAGAATATTTCGAATGTCTTAAAATAGTGATATATTTCTGAATAATATTTTGTATATTCCACGCAAACATTCTGATTCTTCAAGTTCTCCAAACGGTCACTTACAAGCTCCTTCCAAAACTCCGAAGAAAAAGTGCATTCACGTGGACGACCCCAACTTCCCTAGAAAATAAGTTGTTTCTTCCAGTCATCGGTTCGTTTCGGAGGTAGCTTGCAAGAAACGTGCCCGAGAACTGTTAACTGCGAGAGGAATTGCTGAAATTTCTCAGTGTCGAAGCATCCGTTAGAAACAGAGCCACAGAAAAAAAGAAAGAAATTGAAAGGATCGCGAGTGAGTACGTTCGTCGTGGAACAATAAGTTTCCACTTGCTAATGGCAAAAAAGAAAAATGATATTACCTAAATAGTAATCTATGCGAGCATTGTTTGAAATGTCAAATAAAACAGATTAAAGAGTTAAAAGTCGATGGACGAGGCCAGCCATCTTTAACCATTGACACGAGATCAGCAGAATGTGTGGCTCGTTTAACTGTCGATGCAGGCAAGTATAATGGAACGGCCCATTTGAGTACGAAGTTAGTGCACGCCTCGATGGAGTTTGCTGGAAGCAACAATCTGGAATTAATTTCGGCGTGCGGGTGAACTTGAGGATGGACTGAGCCTGAGAACTGCAGGAAACCGACTGACTCTATACGATCAAGATTAAAACCCGACTCTCAGCAAAAAGCAAACATCCTGGATTCTTTTATCCTGATAACACTAGCAATTTATCTTCGCTCCTCCGTTTTTCAACTGTTGCTTCGTGACAGAGGAAAATATGAATGGCAATGGAAATTCGGCTTAAGGAAACTGACTAATGCTTTCTTCGACTTTGAAATTCTGGAAGCTTGCAATTGTGAAATTTTTGAGTTTTGAATATTACATTTATTTCCAAACACTCTTGTTGCCCAAAAGCACTTGAAAAGGGTTTTGGTAAGGACAGAAGAATATATTCCTCAATCAATCACGCGAAAGGTTTTTCATATTTAAAGCTTTTAGACAATTATGAATTTTCATATTTAAAGCTTTAATCCAAATAACTGGAATGATTATTTTAACAAACCTGTTGCTCTTAAAAGGAATGAAGCATACCCTTGATTCCCGTATACGCTATACGAAAAAGTAGGTCATAATTTAGAAATTTTATTTTATCGTGATATTAAATTTAAAAATCGACTTTGTACGTCGAATAAACATCGACAACGAGCTGAGTTTAATTTCCACAAACGGAAAAAAAGCGGAATATCTCTGTCAACCTTTCTACCATTAAATTGAATCGATTGAACGCGATATTAAAAAAAAAAAAAAAAAAAAAGAGAGAGAGATTACTATCCCCAGGAACAAGTTGAATAATTTTGGATGTACGTTAACTGGCGTAATTTCATTCGGCTAAGCGGTCATTACCATTTAATGGCCGCCACTTTCTATGTAGCTACGTGCAAAGGGTCAAGTGAAAATTGCTTCCAATTATTCCACGGTACTAACGTGTAACACGAACTGAACGCAAAAATTGAAACGCGTTTTAATTTGCCTCGAAACAACGTCGAAAACGGGGAAACAAAAGCGTGATTGTATCAGCTTTTTAATAAACTAGCTTGCGAACGCTTCGTTGAAAGAGTTTTGATTTTTTAAATAACGCTCCAACCACTTTTTGCCTCTGTTTTCATACATTGCCGTTTTTGTTCGCGGAAAATTCGGGTAAATGAAGCGATCAGAGAGGGCGAGTCGGAGTTGCATTGAAATTTGGAAGGAGAAAGAAAACGCATAGGAAACGAGTTTCCTTTATCTTCGGTTAGTTTCATTGAATACGGAAATTGGAAATATAGAAGGAAGAATAATACAGAGGAAGTGATTCGCCGTGAATGGTAAGAAAATGGAGGTGGGATCAATAGAATGGAAATTACTTAAATAAAAAATAAGATTAGCCAGGAAAAACGGATGTTTATTAGTATTGTGTTAATGTTTCTGTTATTGAATCGAAGATATCGAATGGGAAGTTCTGTAGGTGCTTTTTAGGTTCCCTCTAATAATCTCCCTAGACTCCTAGAAATTTAAAAATTTCGGTAGATTCATCATAAGGCCACTATGATTGTTACGCCTTAAGTGGTGATGACCCCAGCATCAGTCGAAAGACGAGGCAACACTAAACGAAGTTCTCAAAATAGGATAATTCCACACACGAAATCACTCATGAGCCTGGTTACAAAGTGCCGGGAACTAATCAATTGCTTCGCTTAGAACGTGGCAGGTTTAAATGAATTTCAGCTCACGAAGCGGAGGCAACCGGAGCTTACAAATAGACCGGATGCGTACGAAAAGTAGTTTCACTTGCTTTCTAGACTGAACTTAATTGAAGTATCTCGTCAGACGTGCAACTCAAACACCGAGGGAGAAAGAGAAATATAGAAAAAAAAAAGGCGACGGATAAAGCCAAGGAAAGGAACAGAAGAAACGAATCAATGGCTGTTGCGCCGAAAATAGAAAAAAAAATAAAAGAAAACAAGGACAACACCGGAAACGACAAACGCCACGTTGGAAAGTTGGAAAGGCGAAAAGGTATAAAAGAGAAAAGAAGACAAACCAGGGGTGGCAAACAATCGCGAAAAGGGCTTCTCCTCTTGGCACCAGTTAATCAAAGCCTCGACCCTCGGTTTCCCTCAGTGTCGGACAAACAATGCCTCCCAGTTGCAAACTTTTAAAACATCCAGTCGAAAAAACAGCCCATTTGCACTCGAATAAAAAGAATACTTCTTTTTCTTTCAATGACACCGACACTGTGTATCTACTGTTAAATTGGTTGTCCGATGAGTTGTATGACATTGTCCATTGACTCGTTTTTAGCTTTTCGTAATAAAAGATAATAGATATGAACGATTTTAGAATAAAAATTACCGTTAAAAATGCCAAATAAAGGGAAATTACAGGTTATTTCCAATTATTATTAAAAAATTATTGGATTAAAAAGTGATTCGTTAGTCACGAATTGCTTCGTTTTATTATATAATAATATTGCAAACGGGACAACACGACACTGAAATTTAATTTGTTCAGTCATTTGAATCAATATACTCTTATTACTGAAGTACTATTTAATTGAAACAAATATTTACAAAATTTAAATGATGTATTTTTTAAACCATTTTATTTACCGGATAAAATAATTATTGAATTGTTATTTCTGTGTCAATCATAATTAAATCCAATTAAATGAAATACAAATTATCAAACAATCAACGTACAGTTTAAAGGTAATAAATTTTATTTTATTTCTGTTGTAATGTATGAACAGTTGTCACGCTATTTGAGACACGTACGAGGCTGGATTTCATGCCGGTACTACATACCCGTAATTATGACCCGAGATTTGCAACCTCAGACCAGTAAATGTGCGAATTACACTACACAGATGTATATCTGCGACAAGCACTACGTGTAATGTCTCCCTGAAACAGTGCTTGAAAGCATATCGTTGAGAACGTGACGCGATTAAATCGGTTCTTTGAGGGGAACTGTCTAAAGAGGAAAGGATTAACACGTTCACTGACACAGTAGGAACAGCTATGCCTAAAGCACAACATGGATCATTAAGTATATTAAAAATTATTTTTAAGTTAAATTTTTAATTGCAAATATTTGCAATTTTTTAATTTTTGATCAACATTGTAAATTGTTTATGCAAATTGTTTAGAATGACATTAGAAAAATAAAATGGTATTCCATTTTTGGATAGTTTCCTCTACATATCATCTAATACCATCACCATTATTGTAACATAGAAAGTTTCTAAGAGAATCACGAGCAGGGTCGAGTATTCATGTAATATCTCAGCAGCCATCGAGTGGAAAATTGAGAAAAACTTTTCGGGACGCATAATTCATCCTCAATAATTGCAACGGTAACCCGAAGAGGGAATTTACATGGAAGCGAGGCTCGTGAAATTGCAATGTTCGCGAGAAGCGAATTGAATTCATTAAGACCACGTGTTCTTCCTTCCTTTTCACCTCTTTCAATCTTCAGCCTCTCGTTTTCTTCGTTTATTTTTCTTCCCGATTTCCTTTCTACTTTCCTCATAAACTACCCTCTCTATCTTACTATACTTTACTTGTCTCTCCTATCTTCTATCTTCAACCGGATTTCCTTGTTTCTCCTTTTCCTTTTATCTCCATTCTTTTCTTTCTTTCCTGCCTAACCTTACCCTTTCTTTTTTATTATCTCCGCGTTTTACTTAAAATCGATAAAAACATTAAGTTTGATTTCCCCTTTTTAAACTTTCTACAGAATTACTGTGGATGGGAAATTTCAGTGTTACATTATAGTGTGCTAAATATGATAACATAATTTTTTCTTTTGTTAAATTTGATTTTATCTTGTCTTGGCTTTCGTTAAACAGAATCGAA